ATAGCTCCTGCCAAGGCTCAGCTACTGTTTCCAGCTACCACCATACATGAGAAGAAACCTTTTAAGGCATTAAGGGTAAGAAAAAAGTCAGACAATATTAATTTGAAAAATATAAAATTTTAATAAAGGCTACATCTCTTAATTACAATAATTATTGTACCAAGTAATTTTTTTTTTAAATGAAACTCTTTATAATGCATAATTTACAGTATAAGTAGAACAAAAATGCCATGGCAAAAGTCATGAGTACAGGACTTGTAATAAAAGGCATAAAATATATTTATACATAAACCCCTTAAACAAACAAGGGAAAGCTTGAACCCTGAATATAGGGCGACGCATGGTCTCGTAACACCATGCAGGCACAGGTACTGTACTGATTAAATTTTAAAAACACTAGAGATAGTGTATTAATATTTTCACCATACATTTTCTACAATATATACAGACTTACACAAAGTAGCAATGGCAAACAGAATGCACAGATTAACTTAATCAACACAAAACCCAACTGTAGAAATGCAAGGTCTTTCTCGGGAAAGGGTCGCTCTGTCCCAGCACCCACGCACATGCGCACACGCAGCTCTGCCACGGCATCTAAAGAGCCTTCGCCCACATCTCCCACGGGCTCACATGGGTGTTGTGAAGGCAAGGCCAAAGAAAAAAAAAAACATCTAACCCAACCAAAACCCACCACACAACGAATCACGCGCTCCACACCAACCTGAAAATATGCCCCATCGTAGTTACATGTTGAAATACAAGCTGTGCTAACATTGAAGTAGAATGGCTAAAAAAAAAAAAAATTAGCTAGCTATGTGGATTACATACGGGTTTTTTAATCTGGCTTTTGCAACGTGTCCTTTTGGTGTGCTAAGTATGGAAACGGGAACTGGATGGCTTCTTCTACAGCTCTCCCAGGCTCAGGGTTTTGCTCTACCTTGCCTTAACGAGAGAGGCACAGGACACCGCATGGCACCCTCACCACTGACAGCAGCAAAGCAAAAACCTCACACCGCAGAAATCCATGGACGAAATAACAAGTTGCTGTTGTTATATTGCATCTAACATATTTAACGCTTAAGACCTTTATTTCAAATTAGAGCAGCATAGATTAAAATGCACCGGTCTCTAGATGAATGGTAGGACAGTATTTTTATTTCGGTTTTTATTATTATTATTTCTTTAGAAAAGTTTTATCTTCACTTGGAGAAATACTGGGCACAACATCACTCCTTCCCTCCTTCCCCTTGAAAAAAAGAAATCATGAATGTGCTCGTAGCCAAACTCCTAAATTTTAGATAGTGGGAACAATATAAAAAAATAAAATAATCCTTCCTCCCATCACCCCACTTCCCAGCCCCTCTCTTCTCCATTGTTAAAGCAGCATATCCAAAAACTGGACTTAAGGGAAAACAGACTGTTCAATAAATATCAATAAGGATTACTGTTAAGGTAAGCTATACACAGTTTCTCTTAGTCCATAGATTTCAGATCCCCAGGAAATCATATATTATGTATGGAAGTCTCTCAAACACGGTCTGCATCTCCAATAGCCAACAGTGGTCATGTTTTTAATAAATAGTTCGGGGTTTTTATCATCTCAGTACCCAACTCGTGAATAATAATAATGCCATTTTTTTTTCCTCTAAGGCTAATTCAGCAAAGTCTTCATAGACTTTACTTTTTTTCTTCATTGGTTCAAAACTTTCCTTCAGGTTTTTTTTCTCCTTGTCATCACTACTGTTGTGTGTCCAAAGACTTTTCTAGCTTAACTTTTCTTAAGAAACACAGATGCCATCAATCGATCCTTTCTACTTTCCCAAGAATCCTTCCTTCGTACATCGGCAGGATGGTTTCGTCTTCCCAAATCTCTTCAAACACCGCACCGCAGTCGAACTCGTCACTTGCTTTTTTGAAGTAGTATCTGTGGTGAGGAGAATTAAAACACGGTTAAAAATCAAAAGGTAAAGCAAAGGATGCTTTGGCAGTTCTTTTAACCACAACATTTCCAATCTCTCCCTCCGAGGATGCTCCTCCAGCGCCCAGCATGGCCAGGAAAACCTCAGGGCTGCTCAGGTCCAGCAACATGAGAGCATCCCTGGGGCTGCAGGGATGGCGATGGGACGGAGGGAGCAGGGTTGTGCACGCTCCTCAGCGGTGACAACAGCTTCCACAGTGAGTACATTACACGCGTTGGCAGTGGGTATCCTCAGCCGTAAAGAAAATTAGAAAGCGCAGTGATTTCTGGTCAAGTATCTTGTTTAAAAAATAAATAAACAGAATTTCAAAGCAAAGCGTTCTTAAGGTTCCCCTCTCTCCCCACCTTCTTTCTTTAATGTGTTTTCTTGTTTCAAAGCTGAAGCCCAGCATTCAAATTAGCAACTGTTATTAAAAGGAGAGGCTTTTTAGGCATATGGACGGATTAAAAGAAAACCATCCCAGCTTCCTGCAGCGCCAAAGCTGAAACTCCGCGGTACTCCTACTGGAAAAAAACCCCAAAACGGGAGCCTCACATTCGAAACAACCAAATGCCTAATTCACGTATCCATTTTCAGTGACAGAAACTCCTGTATTCGTTTCCCGATGCTCCCTAGCAGTCAGAGGCGCAGAGCAGCCCTGGTCCAGCCTGCGGGACGTGACACGGGGAGGTCAAG